GTTGATCACCGAAGAAGCACCACCGGCTATGTATTCACCGTTGGAACTACAGCTGTCAGTTGGATGTCACAGGTACAGAAGATCGTTCCCTTATCCACTACAGAAGCTGAGTACGTTGCAGTGACTGAAGCCAGTAAAGAGATGATATGGCTTCAATGTTTGTTGACAAAGCTGAGATTCAAACAGGAGAAGAATGTTTTGCACAGTGATAGCCAGAGTGCGGTACACTTGGCGAACAATTCAGCATTTCATTCTAGAACGAAGCATATTGCGCTTCAGTATCACTTCATCAGATCCCTGTTGGAAGATGACGTGTTAAAACTGGAAAAGATTCCAGGGAGTAAGAATCCAGCAGATATGTTAACAAAGACGGTGACTGTTCAGAAACTGGAGTTGTGCGCAACTTCAGTTGGCCTTCATGCATAGATGATGAGGGCGGAGCCACACAGGAGAGGAGCTTGATGAGATAGCCTGATTGACGTCGGTTTGGTTTCCAAGTGGGAGATTGTTAGTTTGGGGGTGGATACCAACCTCCATGTCCGGCGAGGAGCTCCGACGAGCTCCGACGAAGCTCGAAGCCCAGGCGAGGTTGTCGACGACCGTTTTTCGCGCTGAAGCTTCCCCCCTTTCTTCGTTTCTCTCTGGCGGCGGCGATCAGCCCTAAAACGCAGCAGTGTTTTCCCCAAATCGCAGTAGCGATTTTGATAATCTCCAGCTCTCAATTTCATTTGAGGGGAGATTTAAAAGAGATTAAAGAAGAGAGAGAAAGAGAGGAAATTGAAAGAGGGGTTTTAATTGTGGGGTATTTATTCTCAAGTGAGAATTGAAAGGGTTCATACCCTTTAATTATTAACACTGTAGCTACAGTGTTTAATTGAGAGATCTCATTTTTGATCTGCTCTTATAATTGTAATTTTTTGTTTGATTAATAAGAAATTATCTGTGTGGCTCCCGAGGACGTAGGCAGTTGCCGAACCTCGTTAAAACTTGGTGTACTTTTTCTATTCTGCGTTTCCGTTGCATTAGGGATTTCGGCGTTAAATTCCCAACACTTTTAGCTTTCAATGTTTTTCATCGTCTAAAGGGTGGTTTTCTGAAGTTTAGCCTTATTTCATTATAGGGACTCTCCATTGGATTAACTTGAATAACAATTCTTTTGTTTTAATGCAATAGGGTCTGCCAAGAGATACTTATTTCGTCCAAGGGGAGGGTTAACAGTCCCATGCTGTCCGGTGGAGCAACCGACACAACGATGCTGGTCGACTCTCGATCCTTCTGCATTTAAGCTTCGTGGAGAGAGCTATTTTAGGCATGAACTCTACTCTGAAACTTCTTGTCGAGTTTAACTCATCGCTGCTATTCTGACCTTTAATTATTGTTATTATTATTAAACAACTTGGAAACTAAAACAGGGACAAGAGAAAGAGCCCTGCCCCGAGTTATGCTCCATATTATCCAATTGGAGTTGAAAAACTAAAACAGGGACAAGAGAAAGAGCCCTGCCCCGAGTTATGCTCCATATTATCCAATTGGAGTTGATCTGTTTGTGTGCCCACGAAAAGTCCATCACATAGCTCAGCATATCGAGCTTCCTCATGTCAAGCCACATGATAAAGTTCCATCACTTTTGATTGTTAACATCCAGGTACTTGAGACAATATGTATTAAAATTTTATCAGTTGCTAGAAATTATAGAAATTTATGGCTGTTTATTGTTTTCGATACAGATACCTACATATCCTGCTGCAATGTTTCTGGGTGATGGTGATGGGGAGGGGATGAGTCTTGTACTGTATTTCAAAGTTTCTGAATCTTATGATAAGGAAATTTCTGCTACTTTCCAGGATTGCATTAGGGTAAGTTTCGGCAAAGACTTCCAAGTTCTGTAGTAACAAAAATTAACAATGTTTTTCGTTTGCAGAGGTTTATTGATGACGAAATAGAAACGATCAAAGGATTCAGAAGGGAATCAGAGGTTCCCTTCAGAGAAAGGTTGAAGATAATGGCTGGGGTAGTTAACCCGGAGGAACTCAATCTCAACTCCGCAGAGAGGAAGCTGATTCAATCGTACAATGCGAAGCCAGTGCTTTCTCGCCCGCA